AGAGACTATTTTCGTATCATCCAGTCCCTAGCACAAAAGCTTCTACACAGATGACAGTCAAATGTGTCAAATAACGAATACTCTGCAGAACTGCATTTCTACCAAGACGTCCATCCAAGGAACTTTTGTCACATTGCTCAGTGACTAGGCAGATATAACCTTGAACAAGTTAATTTTCCTTTGTATCAAATTCCTGATTTCCAAAAATAAAGCTGTTGGTAAGGTTTTTAAAAACCAGTCCTATCTTGCCATAACATCATCATCATCATCATCCTCATCATCCTCATCATCCTCATCATCTACTAAGAGCCTACTATATACCAGGAACTGTGCTTTACAAATATCTCATTTGATCTTCACAATGCTGAGAGGTGGGTGCTGTTATTCTGTTTTATAGTTGAGGAATCTAAGGCAGACAGAAGTGAAATGATTCGCCTAGGGTCACACAGCTAGTAAGTGTTTGAATTTGTCCAAAGTGTCTAAATTTGAACTCGGGTCTTTCTGGCTCAAAGTCCAGAAGAAGTCAGACTGTACCACCTGAAATATTATCCCCCTAAAGACATTATGTACACAGTTTGGAAATGTGTAGGGTGTACTTATGTATGCATGTGTGTGTATGTATTCTTAACACATACATACATATATATATGAAAATGGAACTGAGCAATAAAATCTTTTACAGAGTTTCAGAACACTAATGAGAAATCCAAATATAATAAAATCAATAAATTGGAACTGTAAATCAGTAGAGCCTTCAATTAACCAAAATGTTGCTATAAAGCACTCTATTTTTAGGAGGGAGAAGGAAAGTGATTTTAAATACAAACTCATATCAGGTCTTATTTAACAATTATTTAGAAACTGGGTTATTATTTATTCAGCCCAGTCACCCACATTATCTACAGGGCTTTACAATGAGAATCCATGTTCAGAATGACAACCCTGAAGCAATGTAAGACATTTAATCATCAAAGATTAAATTGTGTTTGGTATACTTTATTTAATAAGCCACAAAGCTGAACACATTATAGAAAAATTTGACAATAGGTTTAAGAGAGTTTGCTGCTGAAATTTTAGTCTAATCATACTCAATTAACAGACCATTGTTTTTCCTAAACGGTCCTGCTAATTGAGGTTTTTACTATTATGGGATTCTGACACGCACAGAATAGAAAAAAAAAAGTATGAACAAACCTGAGTTTGAAAGGTTGGTACTGCACCTTTCATGCAAAGCATAGGGTCTCTTGAGACAGTTATCACACCAAATGGAGATGTCTTCAAAAAAGGAAGTAAACACCAACATAGCCATGTCCACATCCACCAAAAAGCCACACACTGCTATAATATAAACTCAGTATTTTATTGCCATGCTACAAAATACGAAGTTGGTACGGATGGGGAATGATGGGAAAGGAGGGCTTAAAGAGAAGGGCACACAATGATGTCAACATCATATGGCACAAGGCTTTTAACATTTGGTAAGTTATTATCAATGCTAAAAAAAAGCAAACCAAGATTTAAAATGGCGATAAGAAACAGCATCAAAAATACACAATTTCTGCATAGTACAGTATCACTTTTGTCTTTTATTAGAGAAACATGGAATGTTTATAAAAGAAATTAACCAAAGGGGAGGGGCAAAATTCATATTTCATATACAATTTGGCAATGGTAGTCCCACTGTTTAGACAACTTTTTATAAAAGAAAAAATTAAAAATCTAGTAAGCTACCTTTATACAAAGTTGCTATATTTATGCCTTTAAGTAGGAAAAACTTAACATTTTATAATGTGAATTAGGACATAATAATCTTACAATATTATACACTGTAATGAAATAAAAACATAATAATACAAATTTGGCCTTTATAAAAATGTATGTTTTGCATTTAATAATGCAACTGTGGCACACTGGTGACTACTGTACTATTAATACCAGTCATTTTCCATGCTATAATGGTAACCAATTGTACTGCAACTGCAACTCTATAGTGTAGTTAAAGATGCAGAAAACTAGCCCTAATGATGCTACAACAGAATGAAGTGTTATATGATAGGGTGATGGATACAGGAAGAGAGAGGGAAGGGGGAAAGGGTAGATAAATGGAGTGAAAGGAGAACCAGAAGGCGGAAAGGTAGGCCAGGGCTGGTCTGGGCACAGCATCTTGTGGTACATGGTTTAAGACTTATTTTTCAAGTCAAAAGTGTTTTCTATACATTCAGTAATTCCGTACCAATGCCTATATTCAACATTTGGCAAAGTTCAGGGAAAACATTATTTAGTACCATATACCTCACACATCAGAACTGTAAATGTGATGGTAAGATATCTGTTACTCACCCATGAGTTCTCTGATGGAGGCATAATCTGTGGACACTTACTCCACACTGCACAAATTACAGGGGCATTATTGGTTAGATAGCCTGAGGGAGGGGATGGCAATAGTTAGCTTGGTATAAAAAAATCAGGTTTACTTGCAGGCAAAAACACAGTGTTGTGTGGCTGGGAAGCTGAAAACATAAGGCCCCTTTCCCAATTTTGTAAAACATTATTGAGGTACTTTTTTTTTTAAATATGATGTGCCACAGATTTTCTGGAAAAAAAAATACAGCCTTGTCTCATTCCATCTAACATTTAAGTGTGGGATCAATGTTAATTAACATTTATAAACACAAAAACTTATTGGCAAATTTTAATAAGACCCAAGCCTGATATCTGCAGTCTATTTTAGATCAGCTGGAAAGTGAAAATGTTTTTTGCTGAGTCTTCAAGGGTAAAGTGCATATCTCATCACTCCACAAGCAGCAGTAAAATGAAAGAACCACTCGACTATCTTCCTGGTGGGAGGGAAGGCACCACATTTTAATTTTTACATGAAAAGAGAATCAAAGAAGAAATCATGCCAAGGAAAAGTAGCTATATCTCCTTCCATCTGGGAGAATGCAGATGGAGAATAAGTGTGTAGAGGGAGATCCTGTTGGGAATAAATTACATGTTAACAAAAAGTATCTCATAAAAACATACACCTGGTAAGTCAGATATACATTCCTAGGGTGCAGCTTAAGTCTTATTGCAAAATCTCTAGAGGAATGTATTTATTAAATAGGAAAATAGATGAATTTCAGCAGGTAACCAGATGGTAGCACCAGCTGTATGCATCTAATACTCATCTGACAGTAAAAGTCAAATACTTCGTAGGTATTGCTATGCTAGTGCAGAACCTACAGCAAAGCTGTTAGATTGGCATGTTTTTAAAAAGCAAGTTGGGAACTTGGGATGGAAGGGGCATAAAGGGAGAAAAAGAAAGAAGGAAGGGTTTCAACCTGAAAGAACAGACAGATATTATTAGCCCTTTCACACAGAGGGGAATATTCTAGCAGTCTTTGCTGTTATTTCTCAAATTAAGAGCATGTATATTAGTGTTGTGATTCTTATTCCATGCTATAAAAACCATCACACAAATTTGGCACAATTAGAAATCTTCTCAGGAGAAATCAAGAATGGAATAGTATAAGATATTGCAAAAGGGAACTGTATCAGAGAAACTGCCCACCTGGCACCACGGCTCTAGTGAGCATTTTAGTCTCTCACTTTTTGCAAGCACCAAGTTCACAGAATACAAAAATCCTGCTAGGCAAACAAAGGGCACTAATGCAACAACTTTGACGTCTTACCTTGTTTACAATGACACCACTCTACTGCAATGCAAACACATGAACTGCCTTTACCAATAGGGTAACCCAATGAATAGACTGGCTACTTGAATGAAATGATTTCCAGCTAAATTAGTGCTATAATTTAAGCCTAAATGTAAAGTCTCAAATGTAAAGTCTAAAAATTTAGGAACCTAAGTAAAACCATTTGTAAGTGACCCAACCCTTCCGTCTACTTCCCCTTCCATTCTCAAGAATCATGGAACCTGGAGGATTAGTTTAAACAAACATCAATTCCTCTAAATCCTAGGGTATGACATGATCTCTTTGCTACAGATCTTCCACTGCCCCTGCGAGGCTGATATAACAGTATATTAACATTCCGCCAAAATCAAGGTAAAAGCTAAATTCTAGCTATGTTTGAAAGGATAAGCATAGCTGATGAACATTATTACAGTGGGTGGAGTACAACTGCAGCCAGGCTTTATATAACTGAGAAAATCACTGCTAAAGTGCAGAGGAGTGTGTCCATTGATAAATCTACAGTACCTCTGGGGAACTTTTTATTTTATAAGTGTCTACTTTCATTTGCAACCAAAGAGTTCATCTATGGACACATGAATGAAAATTTAAAATCAAGTGGATGTCTCTATAAGACTCGAAAAAGTAAACAGCATATCAATAAATACTGGAAAAGGGCAACCCTGTTAAAATCTAACAGTAAGTTCCAAATGAACCTTCAAAACCATAATTTGACAAAACATAGACTAAATAAGACTGAACAGATAAACAACAAAACCATATACAAACTCAACCATCTTAAACCTAAAGACATCATTTAACAAAACAGACATCCTGAACACCAAAGGTAAAAAGAAAAGATAAGTGGAAACTTAATGGCACAAATATAAACGCCTCCAGGAAACAATGCTGAGATTAATGTTCTATTGGAGAATACGGTTGATGAGAAATTGCAACTCTTTTCTGGTAGTATTGGCCTGAGATTGGTTCTAAATTCCCATGGTGCTTCTGATCAAGGGAACCTTGACATACCCTTAAAATGAAAGCATGAGGTAAGGAGAAGGGAACTTTCCCCATCCTGCCCTTCTAACACACACCAAGAGTACGCCATATTCATGGATGTGTTATTCTAATAAAGTTTTAGGAAAAGGACTTGACTGGTATATAAGGAGGGATGGTATACCATATAATATATATATAATATATATATATATATAGATGTATATATATATATATACGTATATATATATACATATATATGTATATATATATATATATATATATATATATATATATATATATATATGTATGTATGTATATATTCCTTTTATGTACAATGCATTTGGCTCAAGTCAAAAAGCCTTTAATTAATGAAATGATGAATGACTCATGCTGGAGGCCACCTAACCTGGAAAGTGAATTTACAGATATTTACTTTCAAAGACTAGATTTATCTGCTAGTAATGCACACATCAAGAGGTTTTATAAAATGTTATAAATGTCAACCATGATTAGACATAAAATGATAGGCACGAGTCCAGAATATTGAAAAACTCAAAACTGGGATGTCACTCACTTCCACTCTCAATTAAATAGGCACTGTGAAAATGGCAATGTTGCTATACAGTAACAACTATGATAGAATGTAATTAGTGTTCTTTAATGAGTACCTGCTCTACATTAATTCCCTTTAGTTAAAACAAGCACATGAAGTATTCGGAAAAAAATTCTATCAGTCTATAAAAGGTGTTAGTGTTTAGAAATGAAAATGAAGCACTTGCATCTTCATTTTTAAAAACTTCACAAAGGTGCAAACGATGGATGTAATGTTTCCAGGGCTCACATAGGCAGGTCAGTACTATTGTGTCTAGTCTTCCTAGACGTACCATCGTCTCGCGGCAGTGCTTTCTGCAAGCTTGACATAGCAGCCGTTCTTTCAATGTCTATCACAGCATACAGCTCTGTGCGCCTGGTGGGAGTTTGTGGAAGTGGAGTGGTGGGAGTTTTTGGAGTCTGAGGGTTGTCAGAGTCACTACCACCTTCCAAATCAACCTGTATGTAGTTGAGCTGCCTATGTTCTAAACTTGGACGCCTGATGTCAAAATTAAAGACTGTTGGTGTACAGTCCCGGCGCCTGGTAAATTCTACCTTGTGAGCACTGGCTGGCACTGTTACATTCTCTGTATTCACATAGTTATGCATTGGATCCAGGTTACTGTGATAGCCATTGAGAGATGGGGTCTTTGGTCCTAAACTGTCATCTTCATCTCGACTTTGCTTGTGGGCTTCCCAAACCGGAGGCAAAGATGGTAAGTTTTCATAGTTTAATAATGCAGTTCTCCTCTGAGCCGAGTTGTTGATATTCTGGGTATCTGAGGTACTGGTAGATGTCAGACGAACTCTCCTGACCCCTGAGGCACTAGGAATGGACAGCCCATTGATATTTTCATACACCAGTTTGTTACCCGAGGGTGCATCTTTTCGTTCATCACTGTCATATCCAGTGTCCCACTCAGTGTTGTTGGTACCGCCACCACTAACTTGTTCTTTTCCAAGTTGCTCCAGTTTTTCTCTTTCCATTAACTGCCTTTGAACAGGGGTTGGTCCTAAAACAAATTTGACTCCTTCAGGCTCAAGAAGAATCTGAGGATCTCTGTCCTCAATATCACTCTGCTCTTCTCTTGCTTTGTTACTTTCAACATTAGAAAGCCTTGTCTCTAAAGGTATGTGCACACTTGATCTGTTTTTCCTCTCTTCCTGCACACCTGTAGTGTTGACGTAGGTATGTACCTTAAAGAAAATAAATGGTTTTAAATATTCAGTCCCAAACAACAAAAAAATGTGCTTTATCACACATTAGTTGTACATTTTATTGTATAATCTCAATATCTTTCCCTTCCAAACACTTATTCCATAAGATATTTAATCCCAGTAATCTTTCTTGAAGGGCAGTTACTCCTCTGAAATCCCAAAACTTCAATATTTCTAAAAATAAAGAAATAGAAATTACCCCTTCCCAGGGTTTAAGCATGTTTCTTAAACTGCTTTGTAAAATTCTACCTAAAAGTGAAATCTGGGTCTCTTGTTAGTCTTAGAACTAACTATAAACAATTCTTAACTAAGCCTAAAATTTCACATGAGGTTAGTAGAGAAGGAAGAACAGAAAATAATTAGTAAGGGCACCCTCAACAAATACGAAATGACTAGCTGGGTCATTCTGTGTTCTAGTTAAGAAAGACTACACATTCTAATCCTACAATCACCTCCCCTTTTTCCTCCTTCAAAACTGAGTAAAACTCTAACACCATGCATGATGTCTTTATTTGTTAGTCCTTCCTGTTTGCAGTCTCTTATGGTGAAACCTTACTTTCATTCTTGATTTCTTTTCTCTTCACTACTTCCCTAAATACCTGAGACCTTACTGTTACTTTGAATACTGCTATATTTACCTTTGTCACTCTGTAGGTACAATCCAAATAAAATAAATACTGTTAAAAACAATGACTAATTTCTAAAAATGAAGATTATTTTTATTCACAAGAAAGTTAAATAGACTGTAATCACAAAAATTTTCAACAAGTCTTTAGCTTTTATGTTTATAGCATTTAACCACTGGCTGTATCTATGGTAAAAAGATACATAACGACCAGTTTCATATGTGATTATATATTTCAGTCAAATACATATATACACACATATGTAGTTACGTGTTTCTTTAGCAAGAAAGGAACAAAATAATGAATTAATCTTTTACTTCAACATTTAGTTCAATTTATTTACCACAATTTACTTCAATAACCAAAGTGAATGATTTGTGGGCTTAAGCTAAGAGGTTATGTAGTAAACACTTACCTGACATATTTGGAGAATTAGATGTTAAGAGTAAGTGATATATTATTGGGAATATAGCCAACAATCATTTGATAAATATTTATTAAGTACCTATTACTTGCAAAGTATTACAAGGGACATGAAGACATAAAAATTTAATTTTATAATCTAATAGAGATTAAAACATGTACATAAATTACTATAAATATATAATACACTATAATAATTTAAATGGATTACCAACCACTTTTCAAAGAATTAAACTATACAACACTAAAATTATGCTGAATATAATTTATTTTCCTTGTTTAGATAATTCTGAAAATACTTCAGGATCTTGTAGTATCTTGGGGTCATAGCGCAGTACCTTGCACATAATATTGGTTTAATTCAGTTGAATATCAATCACTGAACAGGTATCTGGAAGCATAAGCTGACTGACATGTCCTATATTTTGATTATGAGGCAATCAGTGAAATGAAACTCTGGATTTCATAAGAACATCTAAATTTTATTAATCTTACAGTTTATACTGGGACTTGTACTCAGCCAATTACCATAAAGAAACATGCTAACACTTCTAATCATGACACAGGAATTGACTTAAGTCAATAAATAACTTCCGCAATTCAAATGTAAAAAGAAGCTTGATGAACAAATCAGCTGTTATTCACTGCTTGGACACATCAGGCCTTTAGCCTTAACCTACACTCATCACAGTTAGCTAACACACAGTTACCTGTTCCTCTGCGACAAGCAGTGGATGTGTTGATTCTTCTCCCACTGAAGGAAGGCGCGCACTTCCCACAGAGGGATGCCTGCTTGAAGGATGGGATGAAGCATCTCCAAATGATGGATATCGAGGATACCCATTAGGTAAATTCTGTGCACCAAACCCAGGAGCTAACAGGATTTTTACAAAACAAAGATAATGTGACTGTGTTGCTGTTACTTTATATATCTATCAGAATTCTAAATGACCCCACAGAATACCTCAACCAGAAAGTGCAATCCCATTTGGGGTTGCTTTAAAAAGCAACCACCATGGAAAGTACAGGGTTTATAGATAGGTAAAGTGCTTTCAAGTGCCAAATCCTCAACAAAATGGTCAACTAGTCTCCATTCCTGCATGAGAAATTTATAAGCTACTCACAATTTAGAGTTTAAATTATAATTTTTTTTACTAGATAGCAACCTACCTAAAAATATACTAATGACAATGCAGTTACACATAACTCATATTTATTTCAGATTCATATTATTCAACACATATCTATATATCCTGGGCAGGTAAGCCCAAATTCCTCAGAAAAAACACTTCTTCCCAATCCACATACCCAGCCCCCATAGCCTGCTTAGGGAAGAAATCATTGTGGAGCTGCAACCTAGGATATTTGTCTGTCAGTGCTATAGCCCTCATCTCCCCTGTTAGCCATAGCTACTAAAGACCTAGGAAAGAAAATTCTTGCCACCCAAGTCCTTGGCAGAAACAGAAATGTTTTGATCAATGGAAATGACACAAAACAAGATACATTACCAGCTCCTTTGCAATCTAAGGACCTTTGGGCCCTTTCTATCTGACTTGCAGGCAAAGCCCATCTTTTTTGTCTTCCTCTTCTAGAATGTGAGCTACTTAAATTCAGGCACTATCTTTCTTTTCTACTTACCAGTCTCTTGCATACAGCAAAAACTTAGTAAACGTTCTTTCTCCTTTTCCCTCTCTTTCTCTCTCTCCCCTTTCTCCAAGCCATCCATCTATTGGTTATAACCTCTTCTCTAAAGCCTTTGTGTGAAGACAGGTACTTACTAGTGGGAGTTCGAGGGGTTCGGGGGACTTCCAATTCAGTCTGTTGGTGATTCCTTTCTACTACTGGCTCTTCTACCACATTTATGCTATTATTTTGCATGATCTCCTGTAACATGTTAAACAATTCTTCTGCACGAGCACATTTAAAGGCAAATATTCCTACAAATATAAAACAAAAATATGGCAAATGAATGATTACCATAAAAAAACAAAGCCACTGAAGTTCATTTTCTCAGGCCAGAATGAGGGAAGCCCTTTTAAATGGATGGCAGATCAAGCCCTTGCACTACCATATACCAAGTGTGGGTTTTTATAAGAGACGGTGCCTCACATGGAGATCCACCCTTTCCTGCTCTCCAGAAACTTGAAGTCTAGGAGAGAAGAAGATAATTCCATGAGTGTGCTATGTGCATAAGAAATAAGTAAAATGTATTTTTGATTGGGGATTCAGCATGTTTCATAAAGGAATTGGCACTTATGCAGGGCCACCAAATGATATCATAAAGATTAAATGTATATTTTACAATATATGCTCACTTTAAAACAAACTTTGCATGCATTGTTATTTCATTTAATTCTTACAACACATTCTGTAGTGATGCAAACATTATTATTATTATTATTATTATTATTATTATTATTATTATTCTCATTTTACAGATGAGAAAATGGGGTTCCAGAGAGGTCATGTGATTTGTCCAGGATCACACTGTTATGAAGAGGTACAGCCAGGACTGGAATCCAGGACAGGTCTTTAGTCTCCAGTGCCAGTGTTCTTTCCACTACATCAAGCTGCTTTTTCAAAAACTAGTTAATCTAACAGAAGAGCTGTAAACATAGTTTGTGTGACAAATGAAGCACACTTTATGAGACAGTAAAGCTTTCAGATAAGAAAATAACCTATAAAAAGAAAACTTTGGTCAGACAAGAATGTCTTTTTCTCTGGTTTCCAGTGATAATCATAATAAAGAAAATGCTTGCATAAAGGTTAAATAGAGTTTAAGGAGAGAGCTAAAAAAAAAGTGAGCTTACAGACACTGCAACAGACAACAACTACTGAATTTTTGTTTAACTCAGAAGATGCATGATACAAAATGGGCCAGCAATGCTTTTAGAATGTTGATCCTGGCCCACATGAGCAGTGAGGAAAACTCACAATAACAAGAAAGAACAAGGCAAAGAAAAGGAAAGGACATTAAGGACGAGGAAGGCAGGGAGAATTCATTTAGCTGCTTGGAGTGATCTTGGACAATCCAAATTAAAACATATGTTCACATGTTTTTTTAAGCTGTAGTTTTGACTGTTTTCTTTCTTCCTATACAAGCTAATTGAAATATAACAACACATTTATTTATATGGTGTTTTATCCCACATTATATGGGATAACAATTCTATGAGGTGGGTAATACAATAAGATTGCTACTTTATATTCTCTGAATTCAAGCATAAATTCAGTATATTTTCTACGATGCCATGTATCCTTCCTCCACAATGCCTTTAACCAAATTACATCTGACCTAATTAAACTACCCAAATACTTTCTTTTTTGAGCTTTTATAATCTTCTAAATTTGCCTACTCAATAAAAGGCTTTAATCTTTTTAGATATGAGTCAACAATCTAATTTCCAAATTGCATCTGAGCATAGGGGAAAAAAAGGAAGAGCTGAAAAAAATATTCTAATGATTGTTGAAGTTTTTGTTTATGAAGCCTCTTAAAATGTTATAAGCCTTTCTAGAAAAATAGGCATGATATCAAAGAGAAATAAAAATGCCTTGTTTTTTATAGTCATATAAAAAATAAAAAAAACCACTGGACAAGGGCCCAAGACACCTTAGTTCCAGTGCCAGCCCTGTCATGAGTGAGCTGTGTGATCTTTAGCACATCCAATGCTCTGCACTTCAATATCCTCAGCTGTAGAAGGATCTCTAAAGCCCAGGTCTGATTGCACATCGAATTTTGTTATGAATTTGTTCAAACGATTTCTCCTAGAGACAAGTAATGGATATTTTGTAAAATGCTTTAAGTTACTCCTTTACTCAAGAAACTCCAACAGCTCCTTCTCCCTCTATGATAAAACACTAACTCTTCTGTTTGGCTTTTAAAATCCTCTAAATCTGACTCTAGTCTACCTTTCCAGGTTTATAGTACATCAAACTCAACTTTCCTAAAACAGATCTCACTATCTTTTCCCCAAAAACCCACCCATCTTCCTACTTTTCTACTTCTGTAGAAGGCCATTATTCCTCCAAATTGTATCTGTTCCATTTCCATCATTCCTTCTCACATGTGTCCCCTTCCCTTTAGTCACATACCCACCACCTCAGTTCAGGTCCTCAATACCTCTCTCCCAGATTATTGCAATAGCACCCCAACTGATTTCTCTACCTTAAGTCTATCCCCATTCCAGCCTATCCTCCACATGGCTGACGAAATGATTTTCCTGCAGGGTTGATCTGTCACTCCCCATACTCAACTCCAACGGCTCCCTGTTGCCTCTAGGATAAAAGATAAGTTCTTTTCTTCAGCTTTTAAATCTCTGTACAATCTACCTATGGCTCCAACCTATCTATGCACACTCATCTATATGTTGATTCCCCTTCCTGCACTCTGCAAATCTGCCCTTTCTTGGTTTGTTACACACTACCCTCCATCTCTTATCTCTGAGCCTTGGCTCAGGCCATCAGCCCCCATGCCTAGAATGCTCTCCCTCCTCTGAAAAATCCTCTTCCTTCAAGACACAGCCCAAGCATCACTTTCTACACGAAGCTTTCCTGATCCTACCAACCACTGTCCTTCCTCCCAAACTACCTCATATTTTTAACAACTTTGCTTTTATTCCTAGCTTTCTTTTTTCGTATTTGTTTGTGCATATGCTTGTTTCCATTGTCAGCATAGAAGATTCTTGAAAATAGGAATTGTTTTATTTATACATCCACCTATAGTGTTTAGTATTTTGCCTGGCATTTTACACATGTTTGTTGACTGATTCATTACTTCTTCATGCACTCTATATTCCCGTCAAACTAACCTGCTTGCTAGTCTCTGTATACTACACTGCATTTTCTATTCTATTTGTTTGCCTTTCTTAATGCCTGAAAAGTTCAGTTCAAGAGCCACCTCCTACAAGCTTTCTTAGGTCCTGGTGTCCTCCTACTAGAATCTGCTTATGTATACGGTCAATCCTCAACTTTGGTGGAAGCAATGTTCCTAGAAAACTGAGCAAATTCAAAAGTGCAAATGTTGATACGCTGAACGGATGGGAAGGGGGTTAGGTTCCCACAGTCACCAAAAACTGCAATTTTTCACAACCGATCTGCATAGAATTCTTTGCGACAAAACATTAACAAAACACTAACTCATTTACCCACAAACTTGGCCACTTTTCTATTTTTTAAATTCCCTCACCTGCACTTGAGAGGTTACCTTAGCACTTTCTGAAGCAGATTCACACTTTCACAAATACTTTCCTCCTTTCTGCAGATGTAACAAACTGTCCATTCATTAAAGCCAAACTTGCAGCCAACAGTAGCTGCAGACGTTTCCTGAACAAAGTTTACCTAACACCTTTATTTTCTCACTAAGCTGCATCACTGACTTCGCATGGTTGGGCCTAGAGCCCAAAGGAATTGCACTATGCTTTGGGGGCATTATTGCAACACAAAACTTGAGTTTTAAAAGCTAACAATGAAAATATGCAGTGAATGCAAGGGGAGCTCTTCACCATAGTAGAGTGAACAAGGCCAGTGAAGCATCTAGTAGGATACCCAGCAGTTGCAAATTTTTTTACTTATTACTTTGATTTTAGCTTGATTATAGGATTAAGTTTCTTTCCTTAGATTAATCTAACTTTCCCCCTCCTTTTAAAAAATAATTTATTTTTTCTCCACTTACACAAAAACAATTTTTAACTTTAAAAAAAATATTGAGCTCCACCTGATAGTACATGTGCAATCATGTAAAATATATTTCAATATTAGTCATTTTGTGGAAGAAAACTCAAATGAGAAAAAAAAGGAAGAAAGAAGAAGGAGGAAGGAAGGAAGGAAGAAGGAAGGAAGGAAGGAAGGAAGGAAGGAAGGAAGGAAGGAAGGAAGGAAGGAAGGAAGGAAGGAAGGAAGGAAGGGAGGAAGGGAGGAAGGGAGGAAGGAAGGAAGGAAGGAAGGAAGGAAGGAAGGAAGGAAGGAAGGAAGGAAGGAAGGGAGGAAGGGAGGAAGGGAGGAAGGGAGGAAGGGAGGAAGAGGAAGGAAGGAAGGAAGGAAGGAAGGAAGGAAGGAAGGAAGGAAGGAAGGAAGGAAGGGAGGAAGGAAGGAAGAAGGAGGAAGGGGGAAGGGAGGAAGGAAGGAAGGAAGGAAGGAAGGAAGGAAGGAAGGAAGGAAGGAAGGAAGGAAGGGAGGAAGGGAGGAAGGAATGTTGTTGCTTGTCCTTCATTCTCAAAGAGGACCAACGACATTAGGGGGTGATGTCTTGACTTGCAAATGAATTGGATATAAGTGAAGCAGGGCCATGCAAAGTCATCAGCCTCCCTCTCTCCTCCAGAGTCATCTAAGTCCAGTGGTAAGACATAGGTCAGGACGACTGGAGATGGCTCCAGATGCAGTGGGAGACCTTGGCTTTTTAAGCCAAAGTCTTTCCCAGATCTCAGTTTGTCTGAGGCAACACCCATTCAGCGATTAAGGCTAGGTAAGAAATGAGGAAGAGAATGGCCTCTTTTACTTATTTAAAAAAAAATCAATCTGGGAAGGAAAGATCCTCAGAGTTAGTTTCTGGCCAGAACAGAAATAATTGGTATTTACACTCACTCTGAGCTATCAAAACCCAAATAATGACCAACAGAGGTTGAGCTGGAATGCGAAGGGCAGGGAGGAAAATACTATACTTAATCCATCTTCAGATGCCACCAGTTCACATTTTTCATAATGAGTCCTTTGGAATTGTCTTGGGTCACTGTATTGCTGGGAACAGCAGTTGTTCATTGTACAATATTGCTATTACTATGTAAAATGTTCTCCTGGTTCTGCTTATTTCATCCTGAATTGGTTTGCATAAGTCTTTCTGGGTTTTTCTGAAATCATCCTGCTTGTCATTTCTTTTTTGTTTGTTTGTTTTTTTGGCTAGGCAATGGGGTTAAGTGACTTGCCTAGGGTCACACAGCTACTAAATGTTACATATGTATCTGAGGCCACATTTGAACTCAGGTCCTCCTGACTCCAGGGCCAGTTTTCTATCCACTGCATCACCCAGCTGCCCGCTGCTTGTCATTTCTTATAGCACTTACAGTATCATCGTATATATTCCATTACAATCACATACCACAATTTGTTCAGCCATTCCCTCTCAACTGATGGGTATCCTCTCAATTTCCAATTCTCAGCCACCACAAAAAGAGCTGCTATAAATACCCTTGTATGGATAGGTTCGCCCTCCCACCCCTTTTTAAAATATCTTTGGGATACAGACCTAGCAGTGGTGTTACTGGATCAAAGGGTATACACAATTCTATAGCTCTTTAGGCAAAGTTCCAAATTCTCTCCAGAATGGCTGGATCAGTTCGCAACTCCACTAACAGTGCATTAGTGTCCCAAATTTTCCACATCCCCTCCAATATTTGTCATTCTCTTTCTCTGCCACACTAGCCAACCAGATAGGTGTGAGGTAGCAACTCAGAGTTGTTTTAATCTACATTTCTCTAATCAATAGTGATTGAGAGCATTTTTTCATAACCATAGATAGTTTTGATTTTTTTTCTGAAAACTGCCTGTATATAATTTTTGACCATTTATCTATTGGGAATGACCATTTATCTTATTTGACTCAGTTCTCTATATTTGAGAAATGAGGTCTTTATCTGAAATGTCTGCTCTAAAAATCCCCCATCCCCGCAGTTTTCTGCTTTCTTTCTAATCTTGGTTGCATTGGTTTTCTTTGTGCATAAACTTAATTTCATGTAACCAAAATTATCCATTTTACATTCTGTAATGCTCTCTATCTCTTGTTCGGTCCTAAAATCTTCCCTTATCCACAGATCTGACAGATAAATTATTCCATGCTCCTCTAATTTGCTTATGGTACTACTGTTTATGTCTAAATCATATACCCATTTTGACTTTATCTTTCAGTGTGAGATGTTGGTATATATCTAGTTTCTGTCAATCTGCTTTCTACTTTTCCTAGCAGCGTTTGTCAAATAGTGAGGTTTTTGTCCCAAAAGCTTGCATCTTTGGATTTATCAAATACTAAATTATTATGGTTATTTACTACAATGTATTGTGTACCTAATCTAGTGTAATGATCCACCATTCTATCTCTTAGCTGGTACCAAATTGTTTTGATGATTACCACTATAATAGAGTCTGAGATCTGGTACAGCTAGACCATTTTCCTTCACATTTCTTTTCATTTATTCCCTTGATATTCTTGACCTTTTGCTCCTCCAGATGAATTTTGTTATTATTTTTTTCTGGTTCTATAAATTTTTTGATTAATGTGGCACAGAATAAATAAATTTAGATAGAATTTTCATTTTTATTATAGTGGCTTGCTCTACCCATGAGCAATTAATATTTTTTCCAATTGTTTAGATATGATTTTATTTCTGTGAAAAGTGTTTTGTTACTGTGTTCATATAGTTCCTGGGTTTGTTTTGGCAGGCAGACTCCCAAGTATTTTATATTGTCTACAATTACTTTAAATGGAATTTCTTTATCTTTTGCTGCTGGACTTTGTTGGTAATGTATAGAAATGCTGATGATTTATGTGAGTTTGTTTTATGCCCTGCAACTTTGCTAAAGTTGTTAATTATTTCAACTATTTTTTAGTTGATTTTCTAGGATTTTTTAAGTATACCATTATATCATCTTCAAAGAGTTATAACAGTTTTGTTTCCCCATTGTCTATTCTAATTCCTTCAATTTTTTTTCTTCTCTTTTTGCATTAGCTAGCATTTTTAGTACATTAAATAATAGTGGTGATGGGCATCCTTGCTCCACCCCTGATCTTACTGGGAAGGCTTCTAGCTTATCCCCATTAGAGATAATGCTTGTTTATGGTTTTAGATAGATACTACTTACCATTTTAAGGAAAGTTCAATTTCTTCCTATGCTCTCTAGTGTTATGTTCCACAAACTTGCATGCATTGTGTCTCTTATTTTTTCTCTACTACGAATAGCTGCAAATGTGCATGGTTGTCAACATGAAAGTGAAAAAAGGCTACTAATAAAATCACACAAAGTCTTGAAGTAACTTTGCAACTTCCTTATTATAAATTCAACTTTCTACTATATTTACTCCTCCAGTGGCATGTAAGTCCTTGAGAGCAAGAAGTGACTGCTTCACTTTTGTCTTTATATCCTCTGTGCCTACCATATAGTAGACTCTTAATTAATGCTCACTGAATTGAATAAAATAATCCAAATAATTTAAACAAAATTTTCATAAATTCACAAATTAATACATTTTTCTGAATATTTTTACTTAAATGATAATTACAGGTAAGATAATATGCCCAACCACCTAACCCAAATTTCAAATGAACCCAATTTAGTGGGCCTACAACTGAACACAATTTGAGTTTAAAACCAAGGGTTGAGGCGATACAACAAAAGATAAAAAGGAAAGGAGTCACTCAGGACCTGAGATACTTAATGAGGTGCCAAGTGTTTGGTAAGGTGCTATAATAAAGGCAAAGGAAATTATTAAGGCAACAATAATTTTCAGATAGCATATCTTTTGCTAACAAATGTAAATTGTTAAAGACAGCCAAGCAAAATTATACAAGAAGGATTCCTTGGTACAATTTCATATAATCCAAATATGATGCTTAGTTTTTAATTTTTTTCTCTTGAAAACGATTTCAAATACAGGATAGCACAAATATCATATATGTTACGTTCTTGTGCACATGTGAAAATGAAACTACTAAGGAAAGTTCAAGCAAGGGTAGCTACACTTCAGATAACAGGCATATTGCTGAAAAGTTGAAAGACAATCTACTGTAAATCTAATATATCTCTATATACAGGAATGTGGCCATTTTAAAAGATCACATGCTGTGTCCATTCAATAATGCAAATTATTACTCTCCCCTAGTACCTATCTATTTGCAAATCTGGATCTTTATCCTATTGCCTATTTCTATCCTGAACTGCCTGTATTTCGTATTTATTGAGCACCTATAACATGCCAGGTATGGCTCTGGGCATAAAAAAGATGTCACTCAAATGCTATGTGGCCAGACTAATGAACTCCAACATGGACAGTGACAAAATGACACCAATTTATAGTAAAACAATTGGAATTTAATTTATATTTGAGAATTTAAGTCATGAATATGACAACACTCAAAGTTCTGTACTGTGTCAAACAGACTCAAACAATATAGAGATTAAGCCAACATTCGCTATTCAGACAACTTTGTCCAATGTGCTGTGCGTGCCATAGGTCAACATTTTCTTTTTTTTTGGGGGGAAGGGGAGGTTGGGCAATGGGGTTAAGTGACTTGCCCAGGGTCACACAGCTAGTAAGTATTATATGTCTAAGGCTGGATTTGAACTCAGGTCCTCCTGAATCCAGGGCTGGTCTATCCACTGTGCCACTTAGCTGCCCCCATAGGTCAATACTTTCTGAAGCTTCTGTCAGCAACATTCTTCAAGAACTCAGGTAAGAAAGCCAATTGCTTTTACTATCTTCTTGTTGAAAAGGCTGGTTAATGTCTAAGTTATCATTTGAAAAATTGATTGTTTAGGGTCAGTAGGCACACTTTTTAAAATCATAAGTATTTAACTATTGCTAAAAGGGTACCAAATGATTTTCTCCAAAAAAATGTTATTCTTGGAAGAAGTAAACAGATGTCACACACCTTGTCCAGTCTGACACCTCCGGCCACTTTCAAAAGAGAAGAGATTTGAGTCGTAGCCATAGCGACGCAAACAAAGGTAATGCCATTTTACAGCATCTCGTTTACGGGTGTGTAAAATCAGCTCTGTGTCTGTCAGCTCCATTACGCCAGAACCCAGCTCATTGCCATCATCATCCACATTAATGACCTATAAAAAAGAAATACAACGAAGAGTAAAAGTTAGTAATAGCTAGCATTTATATAGCACTTACAATGTGTCAGGCACTTCAGAAAAACTAATAATTATTCTCCCAACTGACACTGACATTACACACACACACACACACACACACACACACACACACAGAGTTTGCCAATTCAACAAATGGAAAAAAAGGCTTCAGTTGATTCATTAACTAATATTTATTGCATGATTACCATGCATATAGGACTATATACAATAATACTACAGGAATATTATACAGCTAGTACAGGGAGAATATTATGAAAACATGGTACATATGGAGGGCTAGAGGTATCTTGGAGATCATCTAGTCCTGAGTTTATAATAGTACTAAGAAGTACAGGCTTGTATATACAAACATGGAAAGTTAAATAATGTAAGGGAGTATGTGACTAAACGCCAAAGGTGTAGTATACAGAGTGTGCAGTACAAGGACTCAGAAATGGGAAGATCATCATGGGCTAGGGGAGGCCAGAAAGGACTCAAAGGTGGTGAGACTTTGCTACTTGCTTGGAAGGACAGGTAGAATTGAGGTACATAGGAAAGGTAAGGGCACTGAGGAAGTGAGGGAGGTAGGGGTATGGAGAAAGGAGACAGAATTATGGATTGACAATGAACAAATGACCAAAGGTAGGAATGGGGAAGATGTGTTCACTTCATGTAGAATCAAGTAAGGAGGTATGGGTACAATAATATGTATGACTTCAGATAGTTCAACAGGCATATAATGAACCTGAGATTTTAATACAACTTAAAATACATTTTAAGACACGAAAGGAAGCAAAAAGCAGTACCTGTCTCAAGGAACTTAGAATCTAATGGGGGAGACAATATACAAATAAATATATACAAAGCAAGCTATATATAGCATAAGCTGAAAATAATTAATAGAGAGAAGGCACTGAAATTAAGAGGGGGTTGGGGAAGGCTTCCAGTAAAAGATGAAATTTTAGTTAGGATCTAAAGGAAATGAGGGAGGTCAGCAGTCAGAGTGGAGCATGGAGAGTGTTCCAGGTATGAGGGGCAGCCAGAGAATGTCCCTGGAAGAAGGTCTAACACAGAGCCTTGGCCCACAGTTATGAGAAGGAATATAAATGATGATCCAAAAAAGGAGACTAACTCTCAAAAACAAAATTCTAACAGTGTAATTATAAATTACCCTAATAAAGAAGAAAAAGGGGAGGTATCTAAACAATCAATATTATTTCACAGGGAATATTCTGATGACCTCAGATTTTTCAAGATATATAAAAATGGGGGATGAGTCATATACTACCTGACTAATGTCAGAAAGTAAAGTCCCCAAAATAGATTAAGGCTTGTGAAAAGTATTAAAAACTAAAACAAAAACAAAACAACAACAACCAAAAAAGTAGAAGTTCTCACCTAGTATTTTGTTTAGAGTAATGATTCACATTACATGGTACTTAACAATTTGTAGAACTTCTCAAAGATTACCATATGTACATCCGCATATTTCCTAGCACAGAAAATGATCTTTAAGGTGGTGTGGGTTGAATAAACCTGGTTAAAAGGGACTTGAATTTCAAGATAGATGAGGAAATATGTAATATAGTTAGGTATTCTCTTAAGTTCAAGTTCTCAAATCAAGACATAGCCCACGCCATCAAAAGAGCTTGCAGGTATGGTCCCTGTATAATGTTAAGGAACACAGAGTGTAGACAAAGTGCTAGAAAAACAGAGACAGGCAAATAGTTGCCTGATTTTCAAAACAAGAAAAAGTAACTGATTGTGTAACTATTAACTGATAATCTTGATGAAAATCCACGGTGAAATTCTAGAACAGATTAATTAATGAATTGACAGCACTTAGAAAGGGAAATGACTACTATAAAAAGCCAAAAGTAAGGGACATGGCGAAGAAGAGTCAGTCACTCAGTAAGTGTTTATTGAACGCTTACTATGTGCCAGGCACCGTACTGAGCACTGAGGCTACAAAGAGAGGCAAAAGACATCCTTGACCCCAAGGAGCTCAAATTTAATGAGGGAGGAAAAAAGATGAGGATAAATGATTTTATACCACTGGCAAGAGTGTCATGACTTTTTTTTTTTAAAAACAAAGTAGGAACAATTAAAATACTGTTTTAGGACAGTTAAATTAATGGTTATATGTAGGATAGATAGGGAACAATATTGGAGGCAGCAAAGTTAGTTAAGATGCTACTATGACAGTGCAGCCATAAAGTGCTTAGGCTATGGTAATGACACTGTAAATTGAAAGAAAGGAAAAAAACATACAACTAACACAAAGAAAAAAGTCAATAGGACTTGGTAACTGAGGATGGTAGGGGAGTAGAGGGAAGGGAGGGAGTTAGGGCAGCCAAGGGAGAGGAATGAATTAAAGATAACTTGAGGTTTCAATCTTGGGAGAATGAGAAAAGAGTGTCATTAACAAAAACAGGAAAAGAAGGAAGGAGAGAGCTGGTTTCAGAAAGATGTCTGAGTTCAGTTTGAAGTAAGTCAAGTTCAGGCTGAGGGAGGGACACCCAAATGGAAATGCCCAGTAGGCAGAAGAAACACAAATCCATCAGGAGACATTTATAATGTGATACCTGCTTTTCAAAACTCATCTAAAGAACCAAAGCTTTTTCGGTTTAAAAAAATAGTATCTGATCTAAACAGAAAAAAAAAATAACAGACCTAATTGAAGGTATGCCAGCGGCCTTATACCATAACTGAGGATATTTGATTTAATATTATGTTCCTGAAAAGTTGTTTATAAACAAAGTTTTATGTGTGAGCACACGTGTGTGTGTATGCATGCATACCTGCGTGTGCACGAGAGACAGAGAGAGAGAGAGAGAGAGAGAGAGAGAGAGAGAGAGAGAGAGAGAGAATATACATTTATGCTTGCTTTATAATTAAAAAAACCTATTCCCAGGGCGTTTTTCTTCTTGCTCCTAAAGGATATTTTATAGAAGGGACTGATTCATTAGGATATAGGGGGTTGTACTTGAGGATTTCTAAGGTACCTTCAAATAGTCTTTTCTTCTCTGTAGTGTCAATTCCCTTCAAGTTTTTTTTTTTTAACGTGTTGGCTCTAATCAATTCTAGGTTAACAGCCCTGATAGCTAAGCCTATTAAAAATGACTGTGCTTTGAGTAAAAGGCTCTCCAACCACATTTACTACATGAAAGATAGGCCTTTGTGAAAGACAGGCCTTTTTTGTTCACTTCCTGGTGCCATAAAGTTAATATTGCCAAATATATGACATCTGTCTATTATTGCACAAATAAAATTTAAAGTTAGAGTTAGAAGTTTTACTTACCTTAAACTTGCTTCGATGATTATCTGGGACAGTTTCTTTATCTGGACAGCTACAACAGCTACCCATGACTTCTTTAGAAGACCATGTGATCTCTATATAAAAAGATGGTTTGCAGAACAATTAATAATATTATACACTATTCATAATTTTAAGTTAGTTTGACTTAATCACTGTTTTGTTTTAAAATTCACAGAAAGCTTATGCTTATGATAAAGTAGCTTCATTACAATGTTTTCCTCATTCTGAAAATACCGAAAAACAAGTGTCAACCAAGTAACAAAAATGATGAAATACAATCCCTTCTGGAACTGAATAGTTTATACATAATAAGTTTTGCCAAAATGAATTTCCCAAATAAAACCCTTTCCCACAGAAGTAGGTGACAGTCAATTCCCAGATTACGTAAAGTGCTGTGAACATACCCTGTAGAAGACAGAAAATTCAGCATGTCACTGACAAATGAGGGAAACAATTTATTGGAATAGGACGAAGCTCAACAGAGGCAAGCACAATTGTTTATAATTACGAATAAAAAACTAACTAAAGAGAACACAGATAACACGCTAAGATACAATGAGGGAAAAAATAGCTATTTACATTTCTATGGTGTTTTAAAGTTTACAAAATGCTTTCCTCACAACAACCACCAAATGAAGCAGAACAAGCATTATTATGATCCCCATTTTATAGATAGGGTAAGGGAACTGAGGGGCATAGTTAAATGCTTTGCTATTAAATGTTAAAGCTAAGATTTGAACCCAGGCCTCCTGGATCGAGGTTCAGTGTTCTTTTTAGTACATCATACTCTCTCTTGCTATATATTTTATACAATTTTAGAGTTAGGGGATAAATATAATACCAGTTTAGCAGCATGCTCTAACAGGTATACTACACTTGTTGTTTCTAGGTGAAGATTGCCTTTGGATGACTGCCTGTGAAACAGACACAGTCTATTAGAAAGCATTTCAATAGTATAACTTGGAAACGACTGATAGAAAGCTATAGTGAAATCATATAGAAGCTGGACTATAAACTTCCTGAGACATACAACCTCTTTGTATTCAGCTTTATATGTGGAAATGATTTTTTTCTCCTGATATTTAAGTTCAAAGTTTTAAAGAAAATATAAAGACAACTTGAGGGTAACATATATTTGGAATTTAATAATTTTAAGCACAATATGAGGAAAGACATCAGTACCACCAAATATCAGATATTCCACCACTTAAGTTGCCACCAGCAGAGGGCTCTCAAACTCTTTTTCAGAAGTAGAAGAAAGGCCTTACATCTGTCACTCCTTCAAAAAGCAACCAAGAACTTTGTACTACTGTTAGGAATATGTTCACAAACTTAAGGCTATAAACTTGTATCATGAAGTTACACATTTTTCCAAGTTTAGGTACTTTATTATTCGGGGAATGAGGAAACGACAATAGGGTAGTGAACGGCCTCTAGGAAAAGATCTACCACATTTCAGGCCACCAAAGCACTATTTGGGGAATCTCCAGAACAACAAGGGGCTTTTCCCACGTCCCTAAACACATTACAGAAAATGTACATAGCTTCTCTCTTGCCACACCTCCCACCATAGACGTCAACAAAATAATGCCATATTTTCATCATGGTAAATAATGTGAAAGTAATTAAGAAAAATCAGCATGTGTTTCTGAAGAATCTTAGGATAATGGAGTACAACAAATACTTTAAAGTTATCAAAAAAAAAATAGGTTTAAGAAAACCATGAAAAGCCAGTTGCGGCATTTTAAAAAGAGGGCTACCAATATTCTATATGGCAGTTGCATTAAAGAAATAAGAAGCCCACATCAAATACTTTTATAGGAAGACATAAAAAAACCCAAAACAACAACAACCTTCAACTTACCTAGATCTGGCCATTAATATGCTTAACCTCTGCTGCAACATCAGGACTTTAATCATACTTCAAAATACCATGCTTTGTTTGCTTGCTTACATAACCTAGGAATATTAAAAATAAAAGAATATCAAGATTTTCTTCAAAATAATTTATGAACACTTGGGAGTTCTATCAATCTTATTTGGATTCCAGTTCAAAGTGTCAAAATCTTTTAAAAAAAATTGTACATCAAATGTCTGTTAAAGTTTCTCATTTTTTCCAGTTTTCTATTACATTATATATGCTCATCAACATGAAATGCAACCTTTCCAAAAGTGAAAAAATAAAGTCTAATGTATGAGGTGCTGAGGACTAAGTTATATTCCATTTGCCACTAACCAACTGAGAGGCATTGGGGATTAGTTGCTCTCAAAGGGTATGTCACGGTAGTTTCCCCAGATGGGTCTTGAGACTTTGGATGTTAATTTACCACGGATAAAACAAAATTTATAAATAATCAACATAAATTTCACTTGCCTAGAAACAACTCCTCACATCAAATGTAAGCAAAAACTTTGAGAATCGTTGAACTAGATCTGGGCTTCTTAAACTTCTTCCACTTGTGACCCCTTTTCACAACCCATTTTCTTGCTTCTAGTTTAGACAGTGTTCATTGGCTTTGTGTGACCCGAGGGCATACTTTGTGTTCAGAACCAAGGTCGAAGGGAAGTTGCTTGATACAATAAGGGCAAGTGCTGCCAGTAACACCTTGGATTCATTATGCATTTGATTTTTAACTAATTTTTGGTCACTGCACGTTCAGAAACCTTTTACTACTGACAATTTTTTCACGACCCACAGTTTAAGAAGCACTGGACTAGATGATCTCTTAAGAGTTATTTTATTAGTTTAGATTCCAACAACTCTGGCCTGGGCTATTGGGACAGTGTCCTTAATTTATCTTCAGCTACCACCCTCTCTCTTACCCAAACCATTCTTCACAACTACCAAAGTGATATTTCTAAAGCACAGGATCATCATGCCTGTTCCTCCTCTCAAGAAGCTCCATCGGTTCTCCTATTACCTCTAAGATCAAATATAAACCACGTTCCATATTTAAAGCCCTTCACAAATAGCTCTAGCCTACCTTTCCCAACTTATTACATTTTATTTACTGACACATATTCTCCATTTCAATCAAACCATCCTACTTGCTCTTCCTCATACACAATATTCTATGTCCCACCTCCATGCTTTTGCAAAAGCTGTCCCTGATGCTTAGAAATGTTATTTTCACTTAAAAGGACAGTTTCCTTCACAGTTCAAGTCAAATACCATTGCCCACATGAGACATTCCTGATCCTTCCAGCTACTAGTGCCCTCTCCCCTCTGAAATTACTTTCTATTCTCTATTTATTCATAAGTGACCACGTTTCCATTGACAGAATGCAAGGTCCTTGAGAAATTCCTTGAATTTCATTTTCATCTTTGCTTTGGGAGCAGATTCAGTACCTTATTTAAGGAAAAACTAGCCTAGTCTGAATGGGACAGACGTTGCTCCTAAGATACTCTGCCTCTCAGGAAAGTGCTCCTATTTGACTGAAAAAGTAAAGGTCACCCATTATAAGCTCTCCCTTCTCCCCTATTCTATATCTCAATGCCCTTCCAACATGTTTCCCCAATGCCTTGTCCTTTGTCCCAATCTCTGAGAAAAAGGAGTTCCTTCTACTTGCCAAGTGGAAGTCCAGCACCTCTAAGTAGATCATAGGCCCTTGACCCTAGGCCAGGGGTGGGGAACCTGCAGCCCCAAGGCTACATATGGCCTTCCAGGTCCTCAAGTGCAGCCCTTTGACTGAATCCAAACTTCACAGAGCAAATCCCCTTAATAAAAGGGTATAATAGTAAATAATAATTTAATAATAAATGCCCACTCCTGCCCCTAGGTCTTTCCAACTTCTCAAGGAGTACATGCTTTTTCTTCCTCCCTCCCTTTCTGTCTTCCCCTCTTGCTCATCTTTAATTTCTTCTTATCACAGTTCCTTCCCATCACCCTAAAAAAGTCCCCACGTTTTGCCCCATCCTTAAAAAATCTTCACTTTATGAGCAGAACCAAGAGGACTTTGTACTCAATAACAGCCACATTATGCGATGACTAATATTGTTAAACTGAACCCTTCTTAGCACTACAAGGATCTAAGACATCTCCAGAGGCCTCGGGATGGAAAATGCTGTCCACATCCAAAGAAAGGACTATGGAAGTCGAATCGCTATCACTTATTTTTACCTTCTATTGAGTTTTGTTTCATCTTTCTGATGGTTCCTCCTATTAGTTTTAATTTTTACTTACAACTTCACTATTGTGAAAATATGTTTAATGGGAATATAAATGCAAAGCCTATATCAGATTGTGCGCCGTCTTCGGTGGGGGGAGGCAGGGGGAGAAAAATTTTCAACTCAAAAGCATATGGAAGTGATTGCTGATAAATCAAAATAAATTAATAAAATTTTAAAAAATTTTAAAAATTAAAAATAAATAAAAAAAATAAATAAAAAATCTTCACCCAATAATCTCCTCAATTTGACACCTTATATCATTCCTCTCTTTCTAAGTCAAATAATTCTCATTTGCTGTTTGGCTTTTCCATCTTTTAATTTTTCAAAACCTTGCATTATGGTTTCTGTCCCAATCACTTGATTTTCAATGTTCTTTTAATTACTAAATCCAAAATCTTTTCTCAGTCCTTACCTTCTAAACTTCTCTGCGACTTCGAATACAGCTGATTTTGGATTCTCTCTTTGCTCGGCTTTTTGGACACGGTTCTCTCCCGGTCCTCCTCTTAGCTATTTTGCAGCTCTTTCTTGTATTTCTCTGCTAAATCATCACTATCTATATGCAATCCCCTAAACTTGAGTTTTCTGAGCCTCTGTCCCAAGCCTTCTTCTCATGTCTGATCAGGCCTCAGACACTTATTAGCTGTATGACCCTGAACAAATCACTTAATGTCTGCCTCAGTTTCCTCAAGATTAAAATGGGATAATAACAGCATCTGCCTCATAGGGTCGTTATGAAGATCAAATGAGATATTTTTAAGAAGTGTTCAGTACAGTGCTTGGCATATAATATGAATAAAATGAATGCTTATTCTCCTTCCCCCTTCATCCTCTCTTAAGTCATCTCCTTATATCTACACAGATGATTCCCATATCTAACAAGCTCTAATCTCTCTCATTTCTAGCTACACCACAACCCTCTAGTTCAGCTCCTTGTCACCTGTGCTATGGGCTACTGCAATGCCTTCCTGACTGATCTAAGTATCCACTCTCTTCTCTGATCCATCTTCACAGTTACTAAAATGATTTTCCTGAAGCACAGGTCTGACCACGTATGAACTGCTAAATGAACTTCACCGGTTCTGTTATTTATAGGATTCAATAGAAACTTCTTTTCATGGCACTTGAGACATTCCATAACCGGGCTCTGGATTACATTTCTAGGATTATTATGCTGTTCACAAACTCTACAATCCAAACTCTACTGGCCTTGTTGCTCCTCATTAATGACATTCTGTCTTCTGCTTATAGGATTTTGCACTGTCTCTCATACCTGAATGTGCTTCTCCTCTGAAGCTTAGAATTTCTACCTTCCTGCAAATCTCAATTCAAATGCCACCTCCTTCCATAATGCCCCACTAGTTGCTACTGTCTCTCCCCCACCCTGCCAAATAAACATGCATTTATTTTGTATAGGCATACATATTTTTTGTCTACCTCAAAATGTATGATCCTTGACAGCAGGTACTGTCTCATTTTTGTCTTTATATCTCCATTTCTTATATCACAATTGTATTATATTCATATACCATATTCATATTCATCAAATGCATATGCCATTATTTGTTCAGTCATTTCCCAAATGATGGGTATTCCTCTAATTTCCAGTATCTTGCCACCACAAAAAGATTTAAAAAAAATAAGAGATTAAACGTTTTTGTGCACGTGGGTCTTTTCCCTCTTTCTTTGATCTCTGTGGGATAGAGGCTTAGGAGTGGCATTGTTGGATGAAAGGATATGCACACTTTAATAATTTTTGGGCAGAGTTACAAATTGCTTTCCAGAATGGCTGGACCAATTCATAGCACCACCAACACTGCCTTAACGGTGCCCATTTTAACCACAGCCCCTACAACATTTGTCTTTTTTCTTTTTTTTTTTTGTCACTTTGTTAATCTGATAGATATGAGGCAGAACCTCAGAACTGATTTAATTTGAATTTCTCCAATTATTAGCAATTTGGGGCATTTTTTATATGGCCTTTGATGGCTTGGACTTCTTCCATTGAGAACTGCCTGTTCATATCCTCTGACCATTTATCAACTGGGTAACAGCTCTTACACTTCTAAATTAGAATCAGTTCTTTATGTTATATTGAAAATTAGACCTTTATCAAGTCAACAAGCATTTATTAAGTGCCTACTATATGCCAGGTACTTTGCTAAGTGCTGAGGATGCAAGGAAAGGCAAAAACCATCTCTGTCCTCAAGGAGCTCACATTCTAATGAGTTCTAAACAACTATGTTCATACAAGCTATTAGCAGGATAAACTGGAGTTTTCCTGACTACTTCTTTTAATCATGTCTATTTTTATTGTTGCCTTGTCTGGAATCATGTTTGCTAGCTCTACTTTTTTTTGAGTTTGCCTGAAGTATAACAGCTTTTACTTCTACCTCTTATTTACTGTAACTCTGTATAAATTTAAAAAGTTTGCAGTGTGTTTATTATAAATGATATATTGTCTAGATTCTGTGCTCTAATCTATTCTGCTTTCATCCCATTCATGTTAACAGTTATGACTATTATTTTCCTCCATGCTGTTCTTTTGTATTTTTTCTTTTCTTTGCTCATTATTATATATCACATTGTTAATATAAGTTAACATGTTATATTATATATAATGTTACATGTGGCTATAATAAAAACAATAATAACAACAGCTAACATTTACTTAGCATTTTATGGTTTGCAAAACACTTTTTTGAATATTTTCTCATTTAATCCTCATAGCAGTCTAGGGAGATAATTTGAAGCCAGGTCCTTCAACCCCAAATCCAGAGTTGTTTCCATT